ACCATACATTGGATACATATAAACATTGAGAACAGTACAACATCCCAAAGATTATAAAACACAACAGGAAATACGCAATGACACCTACCGATGTTCTAGCACCAATGTAATCCAATTCAATGTTGAGAGATGTAAGCTTGTGTCACTATGTCACACAGGTCGTTTTCCATTCGCACTTAGAAACCAGATGTTATCGTGTGCTCCAAAAGATGAAGGATTTATCGTTTGGAATGATCTAGAAAGTTCCACACATTGCGTTAAAGCATTATCAGTGGCCCAAAAGTAATTTGGATTACTTAAACCTATGCTGAGATAGACAGACCTATTGCTCCGTTTCGGTCAGCATACATTAAACCACGCAAAATGTGTATTATCCAAGGTTGAAATCCATGACGAAGTAGTGGCGAAAAAGCTTTTGAACGTCTGCTGGGAATAACAACCAAAATGGCCAAAGGATAGAAATCCAATATCTACTTTGGATGACTGCAAATCCTCCTATTTTATTCCTATCAATACAAACGAATTCGGGGACACTTGAGCCTCATATATCAACTAATATGTCAGACCAACCACCTTTTTAGTGCTCCACGAATACTATCCATAAATGATCACCTCAGGCAACATCTTTTTGAACTTCTGCTCCAACACATTCTGTAAGACTGCATGCGTTACTCTTCCAGCCTCATGTAATACATGGAATCCGATTCCATTTCACGTTTTTCGTGCTCTAACCATGGACTCATTCAAGCAGCAGCTCAATGAAGCATTAAAACAGCTTTTTCCTCAGCACCAGTGAGTAAAAGTGATAATTTATTTTGTGTTATTGTCATCCAAACCCAGGGTGTATAGGTTCTATGGGATTCAATAAACTTTAGCTTTATAAATTAACCATAATCAGTTCAGTTCAGTTCTTATAGCCATTAACCATGTACTTTCGTGTGCCGTTTTTGGTTGCTGTATTTTTGTTGCCCATTTGGATAAAACAGCAAAAGGATGATTATAATGTTGAGAACAGATTCAAGCGGAAGATAGCACATTTCCATAGACTGAAGTTACAAGAATAATGAGTAGATACATGAGCGCCACTGTTTGCGACATCCCGCCACATCGTTGTGTCTCTAAACGTCGGTGACAATGATCTCTGGGTCGCCCGCCAGGGAGCCTAACGGGACCTATGTGAGCCAGTCTCCTGTTCAGGTTTTTCATACCATGATGCCAGGTCTTAGCTTGACCGCCCTTATTTTTTCCAACGGCTGTCTGCCTCGGCAAGCCTCGCTCGCCGTGGCAACCTATCTGGTGACATGCGTAGCCAAGTCTCTGCGCCGTGAAGCAGAACTGGTCGAACTGCTGTAGCATATAGTCCACCCTTCACAGACAAACGGATATCGCGACGGCGCCACAGATGTCTCAGGTTGGCCAATGGCAACCGAGCTTTATGTATGCGTGCCGACACTTCATCTGTGATACGTCCGCCAGGTGAGATAGTAAAACTTGTCTACTTTCTCTACAATTTCCTCGGTCACGGTGAGGCTGGGGACTGGTTTAACACAATCTTGGAGCAGCATTTTGCATGTTGAGGGTGCAAAGTGCATACCGAACATCGCTACACTAGCACTCAAACTATCCAGAAAAGGTTACAACGTACCTGAATCTTCAGTTAGTAGCACNTAGCACAATGTCGTCTGCATACTCTAGATCAGGCAGTCTGCCACCTGGGAGTAAATCAATGCCGCTATCCCCGCACGAGGATAGGGCTGTTTCAAGAATTAAATCTATAACAAAGTTAAATAGAAACGGAGAAAGAGAGGGCACCCCTTTTAAACACCACTTTCTGTGGTGAACTCGGGTGAAAAAGTGCCGTAAGCTCGGACTCGGCTTCGACTAATATTGTAGAGGGGTTGTAATATTGTAATAAACTTCTTGGGCACATCCTTCGGGAAAAGACAGCGCCACAGTTAAGAGTGGTCGACTGAACCGAAAGCCGCTTTCAGGTAGAGGAAGATGGAAATGGTGTGTCTACAAAAAGAGTGTCTGTGTTCTAGGATTTGACGAAGAGTGAAGGTGTGGTCGATACAACCTCGACTAGGTCTAAAACTAGTCTGGTTCTCACGCGTGCACTCTTCTCGAGCGGCAGACAATCGACGGAGTATGATCCCGGCGAGAATTTTAGAGGCAATGTTAATTAATTCCTCAGTGGTTTTCACAAGAGGACCTGTCGCCCTTCTTGTAAATCGGTATGATCACCGATTCACACCATTCAGTTGGAACCTGTTCCTTTTCCCACAATGAGCCCAGGAGTTTTGTTGACTCCAAAACAAAGGCTGGACCTCCATCCTTAAAAACCGATGAGGACAGACGGTAGGGGCCGGAAGGCTTATACCTTTTAAGATAGCTTATCTCTCGGGTAACCTCTATTTCAGATGGTGGACTGATGTCAACTGGCAGTATTTGCACAGTTGAATCGGGTGTAGGGAGGTCTGGTGCTGACGAGGGCCAGCTGAACTGAGTCTTAAAATGTTCTACCCATCGATCTAGACGGCGTTGCTGAATATGGATCAGTGTGCCTACGGACTCCTTAATTACCTCATTTACGCCTGCTTTCCTTGGACCTGTACTAGGAAAAGATTGCGACTATTACCGATAGCCGCAGCTCTCTCCATCTCTCTACACTTTCCTACCCACCACTACTCGCGGTCATTCCTCGAACTCTTGATGAGCTGCCGTTTAAGGGATTTGCGTGCTTTGTCGTAGTTTGAATCCGAAGGAATGGCTTTGCGAGCGTCCAGCAGGGCAACCAAAGTCGGGGAGGTCCATCGCTTTTTTATTTGATCGTGAGTCAGAATTTGCCGTTGTTTGGATTGACATTTGGATCGCTTCCTTGATTGTCGTTCAGTGCTCACTGAGTCCTCTGGCTGATGGTTGATCTGAGAGACGATCTGATAGTTCCGCTTCGAAGGCCGATTATCAACCATTGCTGACATTGTATCTTGGGCATCCGTTTTCGGTGGCTTTTCTGCGTTTGCTTACTAAGCGTAGAGAGAATCTCATTCGTAGCAGAGCATGGTCCGTGTCCACAATTTTTGATCAGTAGGAGCGGCAGTCGTCAATGGATCCTCGCCAGCGGTGGCTGATGGCAATGTGGTCGATTTGAGTCCAGCACTGTGGAGAATTTGGTGATCTCCATGTAATTCGGTGGCGGTTTTTTGTGTGAGAAGTTTGTGCTTGACAGAAACAGTCTGTGGTCAGCACAAAGTTGGAGTAGGCGTTCTCCGTTGTCAATCCTATTGGCTGGGATTGTATGTGAACCTCCAAGTAGCCTCTCTGATTTGTCCAGG